ATATATATATATATATATATATATCTATAAATTGAAACAGAATTTAGGTGTGCCTCCCGATCTAGGATCCCAAAATTTCGGTTGAGCCTAGGCCAACTCCACTCTAAATCGAAGCAAAAACCCAATTGTCACCTAGATTTGGTTTACACTAGGCCTTTCGCATCACACCCTCATCTCCAATTAGTCTACTAACCATCCAATCAATAACCCGGTCAACTATTTCCATTACCTCCCCATCATCCAGGACCATCTCACCATCGTGCTTTAACCCACCCATAAAAGAAACTCATAACTGAAGCACAAGAGAGATGGCTATTGTTTAGGCAGCTTCATGGGCTTTAGCACGATTGAATTCTTGAACTGTTTTGGTACTTTAAAATTTTGAAGAAGTGTTATTGGGAAAATCATTTTGAGGTTCAAGTTAATAATATTTAATTATTATAGAGAGAAGTTATTGAAAACTAAATATTATAGAGAGAAGCATAGTAAAATTATTTGGAGATAGAAAATGAGTATTTATAATCCTTATTTTTGACTATATGTTATTGTTTGATTGGTTCACATATCGTTAGTCATATGGATACATTTCCACCGCTCTTTTTTGCCTTTGAGTTTTTATTAGACTTTTAGTATGTTAAACTAATTCTTTATCAGTTATGAAAGTCATGGATTAAAAAAAAAGAGACTCATAAGATAAAAATAAGAAATAGGGAGCAACAAGCTCACGGCAATTTGAGAAGAGAATGGATGAAAAAGTTGGTGAGGGATCCTCCATTTAACTCACTTAAGATCAACCATTGTTCACCCTTCTCTGTTGGTCCTTGACTTAGAGACCTTAAAGATGAATTCTGGGTTAGGATTTGCTGAGGTGTTGAGGGAAGATATGGTGGTGAAGCAATGAGAGAGATGGTGATCTTGTTAGGAGGAAAAGAGAAAGGCAATTAGAAGGTTGAAGATGATTTTGAGGGCATTGATGTAAATTTATCATGTTATATTTGTTTTTTATTTAAATTTAATAATGGAGGGGTGACATGGAATTTCATTTATCTACATTGGATCACTTTATTTTCGTCCTTATTTCCACATTTTGTTAGAAAATTTAAAAATGAATTATTTAACGGAAAGTAATACTTGACTAAGAGACTAAGAGATTAAAAAGGAGTAAGAAAAAGTAACTTTAAGGATCAAAAAAAAAAAATTTTAAGTATAAGGACCAAAACAGAATTTTTCATGAAAATACAAGAATCAAATCAGGATTTTAACCTTAATAAATGAGTAATTTAATAAAGATTTGTTTAGTTGTCATTAGCTGTTTACATAGACCCTAATATAAAGGCATGCAATTTGCAGACAAAACAAAGCATTAGGTGCTTATTTTTTTTTTCGGTACATAGCAATATAGCATTAGGTGCTTATTAGTATTATATGAAGTAGCCATTTTCTTTGGGGTGGGTATGGCTCCAAGGATGCATATATAGAAATCTCCAGCTCTTCGACCAATACAATGAGTTGTCATTTTACGGGCAATGTAGACAAGATTAAGAATTAGGATAAGATAGTTTCATATGTCCATCGTTTCTAGCCTTGTGCTTACCTGTCATGTCGTTGTCTCTCGTCTATTTTACCTTCTCAAGTCTCTCATGTCGATTAGGTAGTTGATATGACCAGTGCCAAACTGGTTAACATGGTGTAATCAATTTACCCTTTGTTCTAGGGAACAAATTAATTGGTAAATACCAGTTAAAAAAAAAAAATTGGTAAATACCCAACAGGTCTTCTTAACCTAATAACTAGTTATATTGTAGATACATTCCATTTCAAAAGTTAGATTTCGTATCCCTTTATCCTAAACCTGTAACATATTAAAAAAAATTAATTGGTAAATACTCTAGAGAAAAGAAAAATAAAAAGAAAAAATAAGGGCTTAATCCTTAATCATTTGAGTAAAAAATTATTTTTTTAATAGTTTAATTAATTACTCTACATGTTCTTTTTTATTTTTTATTTTTTTTGCTTAATGTCTTAAATATGATATTAATTGAAAAATGGAAACAAGTATTTTTATTTTTAAAAAAGGTGAATTTTGAAGAAGAAGAAGAAAATTTTATAACTGCCCTTACAAAAACTTTGACCTTAACTTCAGCCAAAATTTTTAATGCACTTTTATCAGCCCACGGCTCCTAATGTGAAAACAAGTATTGACAAATGGTCTGGCATTCACCTTACCTAAACCAACCAACTTAATTAGGGTAGGGACAACCAATATATTAATTTTAATGAAAAGAAAGATTAACAATACTCCCTCGTTTTAAAATTTAATTTTGTTTGACTTTTTTTATGTGTTTTTTTTTTTTATTTTAGTTGTACGATAAGAGACAATCATCTCATATCCCTTATTTCACCTTACCCACATATTTCACCTCACTCAAACTCAATATATTTTCTTTTCAACAAAAGGAGATAATTATTAAATTACATAAGTTGTTAGTTTTTTAATACGATTTTAAATAATTTTTTATTAAAAATATGAATAATAGAGATTTTTTATGTAATTCTCATTTAATAATTTTTTAATATAAAAATTTTTATTTATTATTTCTATATTATAAAAAATATTACTTAAAAATAAGTGTAAAAAAATCAATTGTTTTATATTCTGAAGAGGAACCAAAGAATTCCTTTCTTTTGTTGCAGTTGTTGGTATCTCTTATTGGATCCCCTTAGTTTGTCTTCCCCTTCAATTATAGATTTAAATCAAGCAATCCATCCTCAATTGTAGCAAAGCGATCTATTCAGTTCCATAGTTTTCAAATGCCCTAGTCTCAATGCTTTTGAGATGATATATAAAACACTACTGTCTTAACTAAATCTGGAATATATAATTAAATTCCACCATTTGAAAGTCATACTGAATTTTCGTTTGCAGGTGTTGGTGAGCCATATTCATTCTCTCAATCATTCCAAACATGCATCATCAGAATGAATTTATCAAGACATTACATGTATGACTCTGCAGTGTCTTCAAGACGAGTGATGAGATTTAGAAGAAGTGTCCTGATAATTAAGTATACTATTATTTTCTATGTTAGATTTAAAGTTTAAGTTTTAAAGTTAGGGCACCCAAAAATTAATATAGGAGTGGACCTCTCTAATAGCATAATAAAAATTAATTTTAAAATACATAAAAATTAACTGAGAAAAGCTTATTCCAAAACCAACAAAGGAAATAAAGAAGAGAGCATCACACAACTCCTCCTCCCCTCGTAATTACGGCATCAAGCACATAATTTTTCTTGCTCTATATATGATTTATCCAACTACGTAGTAATTTCAAGAAACATCCAAAACAACCTTTGGTACTTTTCATAAAACCTTTACAGAAGCAAAAATGATGTAGAATATATAGATAGCATCACCGCTGGTAGCCTCCAGGTCTCTGGAGGCTGTCTGAATCCGGCGAGGAGAATAAGCTAATTACGACCTCAGTAAAAGCGCGGATGATGAACTTATGATTCTGCTTCGGGTTTAAAACAAGGTAACAGAAGAGCAATTCGTGAAGAAACTCACTGTGGCTCCTGATGTCGCTTACATTTCTTGCTTCAATCATTTCTTGCATTGAACTTAGGAAATCTCTGTACGGATCCATTGAAAACTTTTTTACCGCAACTCCCCCGTCAAGCGGCGGTATCTCGATGGAATCTCTCGGTTTGGTGTCGGGTGACTCCACGATGGAGTTGGACTGGCCCGGAGAGGAGAAGAAGAAACGCTGGGAAGCGAAAACGGTGGCAAAATCTGGAGGAGGTTCATTGTCGGTGTCAGAGTCGGACGAGAGTAAGTCAGTATCGGTGGAAGGGGTAAGGAGGGACTTGGAGGTGGAGGTGGAGGTGGAGGTGGTGGAGGAAAAATTGTAGTGGGAGTTGAAGTTCTTGAGGACAACAGCAGCAGCGGCCGCAGCCGCAGCCGCCGCCGCCGCTGGTGGTTGGTCGGTGTAATTATCAGAATCTTGGTTTGGGAGTAGCGGAATCAGAGATTGGGAAGATTCAGATTCTAATGGTTTGGGGTTTGATGAGAAACAGCAGAGGGGAAGGTTTTTCCAGAAGACGTTAGCCATTGTTGAGAGGTGAGAAAATAGAAATAGGTGTGTGTTTTGAGGACATTTTATCATTTGTGGGGGTTTTATTATGGAGGAGGACCAACATTGTATACTGCAGAGGGAACAACACTTTCATTTTGATGTGGCTTTTAGTGGGCAACAGTTGGTATCGTACCATCTTCAGCTTCCATTTGTGAGCAATCTAGGTGCTACCACTTCCTATGTGGCACTTTGTAGTTTGTATGGTTAGCTAATTAGGCTAAGCTTGTCACATTGGGATAAATAAATATTATAACTTTGATTGGAAAGGCTAGGTAACCACAAATTTGATTCTACCCCTATCAATCTAAACTTCATATACCATAATTTTGTAAATCAGAGTATGATATTTATTTAGATAAATCATGTTTTATAATCTAAATTGTACAATAAAAATTATTAAATATAAAGACAATTTTCAATATAAAAATAGTTTAAATTGTTCAATACAAAGTGCTTATTTTGTTTAATGATATTACTAGAAAAGTACACAACGAGGCCGGAAATGATGTCGTGGCATCACAGGCAACGCCATTATTTTCAGAATTACATGAAGGTTATTTCAACTTACAACTGCCCAGGGGAGAAGTTTGCTTGCAACTTATTGTATTTTGAGCCCCAACATAACTCACATTTTACTCATGCATGTCTCTGAGACTCTGCAGCCTGCTCAAGTCTATGGAGCTTCTCGACTTGCAACCTCCAATCCATTTCCTGTGTATCAAAGTTGATTCTTAAACCAATCTGAATGCTATTAGTGTCAACCTAAAATGAACACCTTCAGTAGCAAATAACAAGTGAAGACTAAGAAGTTGCTGAGTTTTGTATAAAAAAAAATTGCATGCGAGTGATTGACAGACATGGATTTTGGGAAAGGAAGAAATGGGGGGATTTCATTTCAAAAGTGGCATTAACCACACAATCATGTATAATCTACATTTTTTTTTGATAAACCTTTAATTACAATTTACTCTATTGACAAAACTCACCATCTGGATCAAAGAAGAAAACCTGTCTGACCTTCCCATTGGGTAAGGCTCTCTGGAAAGTCTCTATTCCCTTATCCTGCACAACCCATATTTCATTTTAGCCTCCTCTTGTAGAGGAAAATAAAAGAAAACACTTTTAACTAAACATTTACATACAAATTCAATCTTTGATATTGAAGGCAGTCACTAGGCATTGGCAAAAGAGTTTCCTGGAAGTGTGCATAATTTAACCGTGGCCAATAAATTTTTGGCATAGGATCCATTTCACTGTCTGGAATCCATTATAGAAAGCATGCATTATCTATCCCCCTTCTCAGTCTCACTCAAAAATACACATTTGGAATCTAGAGCATCTTTAACCATTGAATCAACACTTGTCCGGTGAGGACCAAGAATAATACCAATCTCTAAAGAGGAATTTACACCTATTAAATGAGATCTTTACTCTCATCTACTGCTCCTTTCCCTTCAACCATACGTAAATGGTATCAATAACCATCTCACTGAAAAGCTGAAGTGTCAAATAAGGATCCTAGAAGAGTACTAATTTGTAAAAGGAATTGATACCCACTACGATCAAACAAGACCTTTACAGTTTTACTCTTATCTACTACCCTCCCTTCTAGGCTTCTACCATCCATATACATGCTCCACATCCATATAAGGCCAAACTTTGGGTGTTATCTCTATTTCTCACAAACTCAATTCCCAAATCGAGGAAAGATGATAGTCAATCTCCTCAAGTTCAGAAAAACCCAAAATTACCCAATAACGCCAAAATATCAAGAAAATAGAATTACAGATTACCCCAACAAATAACTGGCAGTGTCTTCCACATGTCAACAATGTACGAAAAATAAATCCAAATATAAGAACAGAGTGAGACAGTAAGAGTACCTTGAGAGACTGCAGGAAGGAATCGAAGTTGGAGACGGAGAAGCAGACATGGTGGCCTCTAGGGAGGTGGCTAGGGTCAGCAATGGGCGATGCAGCGCTGTAGGGACTCTCCGGCAACTTCGTCTCCGGTAGCCTCTCGATGAGGTGCATAGCGAAACTTCCCGGAAGATTCAGCCATATGACATCGAATCCAAAGTTGGGACTCTCAATCTCCTCGAACCCAAAGACCTGAACAGACCCACAAAGAGAAAATCACACTAAAAAGCTAAAAATCAAAAGATAAAAGAAATCCAAAAGAAACCAGGAAGAAATGAAACCTCTTTATAGAAATTGGCCAGACGTCTTATGTCTGAGGATTCTCTGGAAATGTGGTTGAGACACGCTCCCTCTGCTAATGCCATTTCTTAGTTCTAATCACAGACGGCAGATAATCAGCATAAGATACAAACTAAAGGGCGGCTTTTGTTGGGATTTAAACGACGTCGTTGCTCATGATTGAAAACTAATTATAATTTCTTTTAGAAAAATAAAAATACCATTTTGATATTTAAAATGTTAAAATTACGTGTACAATTGTTCAAATAATCTTATTGATTCTTCTTCTTCTATTGAATTATTAAGAATATTAAAAGTTTTTTTAATTATTATTCATGGTGTTTTAATTGTTAAAACATTTTGATTTTCTACAATCTCAATTCTTTTTTCTTTGAAAATGATAAAAAAAACAATAATATTATAGTTACAACAACATTTAAGATTATAAGTTTATAATAATGATATATTATTAAATAAATATATATATAAAATATTATATATAGACTTTTTATATAAAAAGCTAATAATATAATAACATATTATAATTGTAAACTTATAATATTACAATTGAGTAAAGGTACAAAAAAAAATGTAAAACTTTACAAATTTTTCTATTTAAGGATATTAATTTTATCAATTTCTAAATAAAGATGTCAATTTTCAACATTTTGTATTTAAGAATGCTAACTTTCAATATTTTCTATTTAATTAAGGATGTTAACTTTCAACATTTCGGTTAAAAAATTCATTTGCCACATTAGCATCATTATCCAATTAATTCTTAAATAGAAAAAGTTTAAAATTGGTATCTTTAAATAGAAAAAGTTGAAAGTTGATATCTTTAAATAGAAAAAATTGAATTCATTTGCCATATTAGCATCATTATCCAATTAATCCTTAAATAGAAAAAGTTTAAAGTTGGTATCCTTAAATAGAAAAAATTGAAAGTTGATATTCTTAAAAAGAAAAAGTTGAAATTTGACATCTTTAAATAGAAAATATTGAAAGTTGACATTTTTATTTAAAAATTGACGAAGTTAACATTCTTAAATTAAAAAAAATTGTAAAGTTGACTTCTTTAAATATAATTATAATATCATGTGTTATTGTAAGTATATCATTTTTAAATAAAAATTTTGATGAAAACAAACTAGTAACGAAAAAATGTTTTAGAAGCCCTCTCTTTCAATTTAAATTTACATGGCACATTAAATGATATTAAAACCTAATTTTCCTTCAAATTAATGATATGAAAATTTCATACAATAAAAATTGATAATACAAACAAAATTCATTGTCCATGTAATCTTCAACAACAATGGTGTAGTTACAATGTTACAAATATAAGCTTACGTACGTGGAGGAAGAAAAGAGAAGGTCCATTACTTGAGAAAGAACGCAGAGATAAAGGGGAGGAAAGGATTATGAAGAAGAAGAAGAGTTAAGTGCAGTTTGGTAATTTTGAACTAAAATAATTAAAAAGGATTTTTTTCAACTAATTAAGAAGGATTGAAAGGAAATTATTTTAGGTGGAACCCATTAGAAAACTTTTAAGAATTTAGCTTGTCTTTTTTATTTGTCCATGTATGCTACTAATAATTTGTATTGTTGTATCATTATCATCTTTATAAAATATATATATATATATATATATATATATGTATTAGGAAAATGTCACGTTGAACAAATTAAAGTAAAAGTGGAACTTAAATAATGAAAGATAAAAAAAAAAGATATAATTTTTAAAGTTAGAGTGATAAAAACGGTATTGAAAATAGTTTAAGGAGAGAAAATATTGAAATGTTAAAATTTTGATATTAAAATTTGAATTTAACCCTCTAATTCCAACTCCTCCTCGAATTAGGGACTAGTTCTACTCTGTTTTGAATTATAATAAGAAAACATTTATAAATACTTGTTCTTCTTTAGAAAAAATCAATCAAATTTCATGGATTCTTCTCTTATCTTGGCTCTCACTTTCATAGCAAAAATTCGGTTTACGGTTACAGATGAGCTTTACAGAGCCTTTCTCCAGGGTTTTGGCAACCTTCGGAAAGGAACTTGGGGTTTAGAAGACTTAGATCGTGAAGTGACTTTGCTTTTTGAAGATTATCCTGATTTAATCGAGGAGTTTCGAAGCTTTCAAATGGATTGCCAGCCGGATTTTGGTGTTTGTGACGATGAAGTCAAGCAGTTATGGATTCCCTTTTGCATGATGGTACAGCAGAGTCACAGTTTTGAGCAATATCTAAATTTCTTGAAACATAGAACCTACTTTAATGGGTTTGCAAAAAATCCATTGTCGAAATCGGAAAAGCCGAAGAAGAAGAGGAAGGGAATCCCTGAGGTTGAATCGAAATCAGAAAAGAGCAGGAAGAAGAAACGCTGCACCCCTAGCTATGAATTCCTACGGAATTATGACCCTAAGGCGGCTGAAGTTGCGGCAGATTGTGAGTCTGAGATGGTTGTTGCAACTCCATTAGAACCAAAAGACAGTGATCCCAGGAAAGTTCTAAATTCCTCCCTGGTCTGTGTCCAACAAACAGAGTATGCCACTAGACCACCGAGGCTCCAAACACCACAAGAAAAGATGATGAATGAAATCGAAGACGATCTATTCCAATTGGATATGACATTGGCATGGTTTAGATCTGCAGCTGAGAATATAGAGGAATTTTTTAAGGAGAACAAGGTGGAAGGTACTGATATCAGAGAACATCTGACTGCCATGAACTTGAGGTGCATTGAAAATCTGTATAAAAAACATCCTGATATTTTGAAGTATTTGTATGAAAATCCAGTCGAGGGTCTGCCTGTCTTATCGAGGCAACTAAGGCGAAAAGAAGAGGAGTTGAAGGAGAAGAAAGAAGAGAAGATGAAGAAGATTCATGGGGCGTTGGAGGAGAAGAAAGAAGAGTGGAAACAGCTTCACTTCAGGCATATCCTGCCTGGTTTGCTGAGTTGCTCTCAGGATTATGAAAAGAGTTGATTGTATTTGTATATGTTTTAAAGTCTTCAAACCCTTATTCTATAGAAAGAACTACGATTAAATAAATGAAAGCAATTCTGTCAGTAAGTACGTATGACTAAGGAAAGGTAATAAAGAAAAAAAAAATACCTAACGAAAAAAAAAAAAAAAATAAATGAATAAATTAAAAAAAATATAATAAAAAAAATTATATATAAATTAATTAATAAAAAATAAATAAATAAAACAAACACACAGAATGCATAATAAATAAATAGACAAATAAACCAAAAAAGCATAAGAGTAAACTAAAAAAGTAAACAAAAAATACAAAACTAAAAAAATAAAATAAAAAAAAAAAAAACGAAAACTACTACCTCAAACCATTAAATTATTAAACCTCTTAAACAACAAAAAAAAAAAAAACAAAAAAAAAAAAATAAAGAAAGCCAGATAACATCAAATAGTACATACAACTTGTCTCATTTCCACTGGTTTTAAGTTGGATAGACTAGAAAATACATATTTTCTTTCAAAAAATATTGCCGATCCTGAATATCATTAGGCAGGAGATTGTTTGGTTTGCCTGCCAAAACTTTTTCTTAACGGAATCTTTCTAAATCTAAACAGTTAAAACACGCAGAATAGAAGTATAGAACAAATAAAAAGAAGAATCAATCTCTTTGTAAACAGATAGTTTACGATTCTGAATCTTCGAAGGGAGAAGAGAAGAGGAGAAAAACCTGTAAAATTTTGAAAGGGAGCTCCATGGGCGGAACAAACAACGTAAATAATTCAGCCTCTGCTTGTCAAAAGGCGCTTCTGAAGGAAGGAATCAAGCTGCTTCTTTCTAGATGGAATGGCCTTCAAATGGCTGTTAAAACCAATGGGGAGGGCCATGACTCCTTCCAAACGTCACAGCAACTCGCCGCCAATGTCTTATATATTGGCTTTCTCAATCCAAAAGGTTCGCCTCCGCCTGCGCCGGCCACCTATAATAGTGGATGATTAACATGAATGATCATTCATTTTTGTAGCACAACTTCAAGTGGAAGATTTAGAAAATTTGCTTCACCAAAACATGTTGCTTACTTTCAAACAGATGGAAGATGGAAGCATCGAAGAGGTAATAATATTAATTAACTCGTTGCTTTCTTATTATTGTTTTCTGAAAAAAAGAAAAAAAAACATTGTCATACATACTCTCATTATTGTTTGTTTTGTTCCCTCAAACTTGCTAAAGGAACTCAAGTCAAAGTCAAGTGAATGCTTAGATTAACACTAGAAATTAAAGAGTTCAGGAGAATTAAATAAGAAGTGCCCAAAACTTAGCTTTTATGCTGATAATAGGCATTTCCTTATACATATATTTTTATTGGTGCATTAATTAACAAGTTATAGATAATTTAAATCTAAGATCTTTAATATAAAGATTTAATTTCTTAACTAGAGCACTATAATATCTCTTGGGAGCAATACATATATTTTTATTGTATTACCATTATAGGTCTTAGGCCACCTAAGAAAGAGGTAAATTAGGAGTTAAAATTTTTTTTCTAAGTTCTTGTAAACTATTAAAAATTTTAATGACATTTACCATGTTCTTTTCTTCCAAAATTTCAAATATGAAATACACAATTAGAATAGTATTGGAGTGTGAAAAAGGAAGATCTAACGAACGGTGTTATTTATGGTAGTTTCAGTCTTGATCTCAACGTTTGGATACAAATGATACCCTTACAAAATTATTGGACTGAAGTTGGGAATTTTTTTTTTTTTAAGAGATGGAATATTTCGTAGACTTGGCAAACATGTCCTATAGGTTGAGTTGATCATTTCACCTTGATCATTTTAAATTTTATATTAAAAAGATAAATTCATAATTTATCTACATCTTGAATTAAATTGGTGATCTAAATTTTTAAAAAAATTAAAATAAAAAATAAAAAATTTAATATTATTTAATTATTTAGTAAAAAAATATTAAATTAATATTAACACTAATAATTTAATAAATAATAATTATTTTATAATATATAATTTATCTTATATTTAAAACTTAAAATTAAAAATATAATTAATCAATATTTTAAATTTAAAAAAATTAAATAATTTTAATCAAATCACTTTCAGTTGACCCCGCTCAATCTTAATTAATTTAATTAAATTTAAATAATTTTAATCCAAATAATATCAAATTTTAAATTGATATTTTAGACTTAAAACCTTATATATATAATAAGTAAATTGGGTTAAATTTTCAAATTAAATTTAATTTTGTCAAGTCTAATATTTAGCAAATAGCGTAGGGTGTTTTTACAAATTCTAAGTGGTATTAGAACTCCCAACCCAATGCCCTGACAAGTTTTCTTAAAGTAAAAATTATATTAATAGTATTAATATTTACACTGAAAAAATAAAAAAATATTGAATTAATAATTTAACTTAAAAAATTAAAATACCCTCATTAATTTCTCAATAAAAAACGTAAAAAACGTGACTCATGCGTAAAAGGCACGCAGTGCCCTGACATTAGATTTCACCATTTAATGTTTTCAAAATTTTTATCTTATTTCATTCCCACATTTGCCTGAAGTCAAAGACTAAAGCTCGAAGAGAAGATGACCCGCCAACAAAGAAGCGTGGCCACCCAAGCACGCACTCGGTGCAGTCCTTTAAATTTTGAATAACCATTCTTACCCCTTCGGACATGACAATTAATTCATTGAATTCCGTGCACTGCAAAACACCTGTCATTTATATTGGCTCCTACACCCGCCCACATGACGAGTAATGGTAGGAGGAAGAAAGTTTGATATAAAAATTTAACATTAATTTATATTATGTTAATAAATTAATTAATATTTATAATATTTTATATTTAAAAAGATTATTTATAAAAATTTAACATTAATTTATATTATGTTAATAAATTAATTAATATTTATAATATTTTATATTTAAAAAGATTATTTATTAAATAATATAAATTTTATATTTTAAAATTTTAAATCAGATAATATAAATTATATTATTAATTGAATCAGATCTCGTGGTCCAATGATTTGACTTCAAGTTTTAAGTATTTGGGTGGGGTGATCGGATTTTCAAATTCTATCAAAAAAGACTTAATGACCGTGCATCTCATTTAAAGGAGTGAAATATTCACCCAATCTGAAGATCAGTTGCTAATAATTAACTCACTAACTTCTTAATCATTACGCTTGTAAAAAAAAAATATATATATATTATTAATTTTAAATTTTAACTTCATTTATTATTATTCTTGGATTTATAATGATATTACTCCTTCGGACAAGGTATGGGTAGAACCGTTATTTTCTGCAGTGTTGTCATGTTCCCTTCTAACCAGATTCTTATTTCTTGGTGCCAGATTGAGCACTAGCTAGCTCTTGCTCTCTTACTCCTCTCCACTCTGATCCTCCTTTCTTTTTTACTTTTTGCCATTTCTCTGAGCCAGAGGTGCGATCCTCTATGTTTCTCAACTAAACTTGAGTTTACTTTTCTGGTTTTTGTTCCTCAGATTTGCTGGATTGTTTTGTTTTAACTAATCTTGTTCTGATTTTTTTTTTTTATTTTGGGGTTTGCAGGTGAAGGGGTTTTGGTCTAATTATGTCAGTCTTCTCTCCTCCTCACATGGGTATCGCTGAAGATCTCTTCTCTGAGTAGGTTTTTCTGTTTGTTCCGCTTGTTTGCTTCAGCTTTCTTATTTAATTTTATGTTGTTGATAGCTAAGATTAAATTGAGGAACATTCAGTCTCTTTGACATTGGGAATCGATATCGTGCGGGAGCTGTTGATTTACTAGAATTGGCATTGAATTTTAGTACATGGGATAGAAATGTGCTAAAAAAGCAGGAAGTTTTAGATAGAATCGAGGGCATTGTCAAACCCCTTTTTTTGGGAAAGCATTTTCATCTATATGCTGACTGTCTTAATAAAGGCTCAGTCACTAATTCTGACTGATAGTAGTGCTATCCTAGGAGTGGTAATTGTTTTACCCATTTACTGACCCTGCAGAAATTAGGAGATGCTTAGGCATGCATTGGACGGTAATACTATAGTTATAACATGATGTAGAATTATAAATTAACAATTATAACATATTATTAAATAAATTGATATATATAATATTATAGGTGAACCTGAGTGAAAAGAGTTAATTATATTCAAAATATATTATGTCGTAAGTTTATAACATTATATGGTATTGTAATTATTATCATTTTTTTTGTATTGTGTTTTTCTAAAAACACAAATTAATGATACATTAATTGCACTTTTTTTCATTAATTGTTCTGAAAAATAAATGTTGATTTTAATTTTATTAACTATTTAATTAAAATTATGCAAGTGTTATTATTATTGAAAATGAAACTGACTTTTACATTTTTTTGATATCAATTACTAAGGAAAAGGTGCAATTAATGCACCTTAGGAACATAGGTTAGATAATTCCTCAGGTATTTATTTTCTAGTGTAGCCATTTCTTGGATTTAAACCCAAACTTCTGTACTTGTGTGCCACTAAGGAAGGTTGTTTTGACTTAAAAACTAGAATTTTGCAGGGTCTAGTTTCATATTAAATTCTCCGTATCAAAGCTCCAATTCTCAGTCATCCATCTCCCATTGAGTTCACAGTACCACTTTTTTCTCCTTATGTTCCATCATTCCATGCATTCAAACTTGTGACCGTACTTTGGTAGTCCCTTTTTTTTTTTTTTCTCTTGGTAATGACTAATGAGGGAGGGAATCCTAGTTAATCCAAGGTTGGACTGTCTGCGGTATTGTTACAAGGATCAGTTGTCAGTTAATTATGAAACATACAGTAGCTTTAACTTGTATCCTGTAATTTCACTAGTAAACTGCTTTAGAAATAATATTTTGTGAGTGAACTGGCCCTTGTGGTTACGAGCTTGATGACTCTCAGGTCCTTTCTTCAACTCAGGCCAGCAACTCCCTTTTAAGTATGAATGCTATTGCTAGTGGTGGTATCCACCCCTTCCCCTAAATTTCCCTTACAGAAAGAAGAAAATAACATTTTCATATTTTGTGAGTTGGGTATGCCATTATGTTTGCTAACTGCTTTTATCTCAATTGCAGTTGGAATGGTGCACCAGATTCAAGTCCTCATCACCAGGAGGAACTTTTGGAGAATGAGAACGTTATCCATGATGAAAATAATGATTCCACTCCTGTTACAAAGGAGAATAATTTGCTTATACCAGTTCTACCTTCTGTTTCTGGTGAAGGTTTTCCTTATGCTCCAATGAATTGGCCAAATCCTGGTGATAATTGGACTTGGAGAGTGGGAAAGAGGGTAAATAGTTCTGGATATTTCCAAGATAGATTTCTGTATCTTCCAGCAAGTCTCCAACAACAGAATTCTGCAAAAATGTTTGCGAGCAAGCCAGCACTTGAAAAATATATGCATTCACAGTTCCCAGATGCAGATATTAAAGCATTCTTTGACTCTTTTAGTTGGAAGATCCCTGCCATATTGGAAACTCCTGCAAAAGGTCAGCTCCAAATTAACATTGTTTTTCTTTGCCTCAACTAGATTCCAGTAAATTTTCATGTTTGAAATGAGTGAAGAATTTATTAACATTTGTTTTCCCTTCCCTAAATTATGTAGTTAAACTTTTAGGATTTTTCTAACATGTGCTTAATTCTGATTTCTTGCCATTCAAACACAAATGGAGTTAGCAGTAAAGATGTCATGGTTGCTTTTTGTTGTGAAAGACTCTCACATATGGTAATTGTAAATGAATTCCTTAGACTTAAGTGAAACTCTTTTATTCCAAACACAATGCAGTTGAATTAAAATTTTCTAGTTCAACTGAACTTGTTTTTTTCGTTTCCTTCTAATCACAAACATGATAACCATAGAATTGCAAATGAACTCCCCAAAATGAGTGGAGTTCTTTTTATTATTATTGTTGTTGTTATTATCGCTATTATCATTATTATTATTTTTGATTCAGAAGTGGAGTTCATCGATAACGGTCACTCTTTAAACATTCATTAAGACAATGGTTTGTGTTTGGTGGTGCACGTGATTACTAATGAGGAGTTCTCTTTATTATGGCAATTGGTACTTTATATTTTTCTTCCCCTCTCCCCCAGAATTCCAAGGCGCTATTGTCCATGTTTTCTCTTGATTGCTATACTAGGATCATTTTCTTTGTTGCAGTGGATGATACCTCTGCCCCTCAAGAGCCCCCTCCAGGGGTAAGAACAGAGGAGCCTAAAACAGGAGGGAAAGAAAGAACTCGCCGTGTCAGCCTGAGAGAAAGAAAAGAAATCAAGCATGAAATTCCTCCCCCTGTCAGCCAACCAAAGAGGAAACGAGGCAAAATGGAAACTCCCCACTCTAGCCAGGGGAAAGAGCAACCGAAAGCAAGTGTGGTGTCAACCACATCTAAGCGAAAAACTCGACAAAATCTCAAGCATTCTGTTGAACCTCCCCTCAATAACACACATGACATGGTTGATTTGTCTGTCTTGCCTGAGGTGCCAACAGGTGAGAAAACTGCCACTTATTGAAGGTGATCAGGGTTTTGATCTCCATATTTACATGTCTCCTGAAAATGGTATTATGAATTGTTGTCACTCTGTTGTTGAAATGGTTGCAGAGGAATTTGATAATTACCTCGATTCTCTGGATGATATTCTTGCTCAGCCTCAAACTGAAGGTCCAGCATCCTATCCTGCATCCATCAACTCTTCTGTCCAGGAAGATGAAATGGCTGAAGCTCGAATTAGGCTTTGTTTGCTTCTTGATATGGACTTTGCTTCATTGATCTGCTCCCAAGACCTCACTGAACTCACAAGTCTTGCTTCAAAACTTCGGAGGGATCCTAACCTTAGTGCTGAACAACTTGTGAAGTTAAAGCTCGTTGAAGAGATTCCATCATTCAGTGAAGTGTTTCTACAGAACAAGGAACTGATGGAGCAAGCAGACAAATTCTTCGAAACACTTGAGGTCAACAAGGCCAACGTTACTTCCCTGCGGAAAGAGTACAGTGAGTTAAAGGAACAGGTATCCCAACTGGAGTCGGAGATGAATGCTAATTCACTGAGCATACAAGAAATTGATGCACAGATTGCTCAACTTAAATCCCATAGAGATGGGATGATGAAAATAATGGAAAATAAGAAGGAGGACAAGCTTGGGTTGACCTATAATCAGAGGTTGGTGGCAAATTCAATCCCGAAGGTTGTGAATGAAGTTCAGGTTGCCAACTCCAAAAGGCCAGAATGGGAGCAGAGGAAGGAAAATGCAGTCAAGCGTGAGGCTGAAATTCTTGCTAAATTTTATCCTCTAAGAGGGTTTTCCTTTAGGATTGGTAACTCGCTCAATTTCTCCCATTTCCCTCAGGGATCAGGCAGAGGTATGGAAAACTTTTCATCCCATGGAAATGTTGATAGAGAAAGTTTCATCCAAGTGACCAGGAGGAACTTCTCATCTCATGGACACGGAGATGAAGTAAGTTTCATGCCCATGAACAGCTCCATTTCCCTGCCTCTGAACAGGGAGGGGACAGGGGTGGAAGGGTATCCTACCGCCCCTCATTCTGGGGGCCCTCTATCATGGCTCTAACCTTATGATGTTCAACGGTTATTTATGGTGGGATATGTTACTTACGTAGTCATTCCTATGAAATTGAGCATCTATGCCAGTGTAAAGTATTTACGGATTCTTTACTCCGATGTACCCAAAAAAAGGGAAGAGCCTTGACTAATGTTTAAATTAAGGGTTATCTTTGTTTTTTTTGGCGGTCCGAACCATACCGGTTGCAAAATCAAGACCATTAAATGGGAGAGTAGGACTAATACCAAGAGACTCTTCCCCAATTCAAGAGTGATGTTTTGTAGTTTTGACTACAAAACAATGTTTTTGTTAAATTAAGCCCTGGTGCTAAATTTGTTGGTGAGATATGGTAGGATTGAACAAAAATTAGTCATATCTCATCCGAGTCCAAACGGCCCTTTGGTCAAGTCTGGTTGAAAACAAGGCAAAACTGAAAAGCTTACAAAAAGTAGGGAACTAAAATTTAGCGTTTTCTTCCAAACTAGAAATGAGCAAGAATAGCTATAACCAATGACCATCCCCTTCAAAGATTGTTATTCCTTTGGTTTTATATTATAAAGGGAAAATGATAAAGCCTTTTTCCCTCTTCATTCCTGACTGGTCGAATAAGGCTCTAATTTTTAGTTTTTGATTATATTTTTATCATATTTAGAAACCACTACTATAATTAGAAATTAAATTATTAAAATAAAAAAAAATAAAAAAAAAAAACAAAACTCAAACTTAAATAAAATGTGCCTTTAGTTTTATTTTTAGTTTTCTTTCCTTCTTTTATGTTTAATAGGAAAGTGAAATATACTTTGCCCTACACAAATTACACATCTTATTAATTATTACCATTCATGAGAAGAAGGCTTTTTCATATTTTTGAGGTAGTGCTCCTTCCATCAATAATTATAAAATATATAATCCACCAAAACTACTATCTTATGATTAAGAGAGTAGTTATTCCTCCAACTGAACACACCCTTATTGAGGTACCGGAATTATCATGGATGATTATGAAATGGACTTAAAACCACATTCTTACGATCACCTATAGAAAAGAATTGCTTCTCCCCACACATTTGGACTTGCATGTATGGAAAACAAAGGATCCATTTCCATTATATTGATTCAGATGGTCTAGGACTTAAAAGGTTTAACAAATACAAACCATCCTTCAACTCTCTTATCTTGTTTCCGACGGAAAGATGGGATTCAATCACAAATCACTAATATAAACATCGAAACACACTTTACCAAATAGGCACTTTCTCCTCTCACAAGAGGGTTCCCGAGAAACATTTGCAAGTGATGATAATACCAGGGGTGCAAATCTTGGTAAATTTGGAAGATACCCAGCTTCTTGGGTCACCCATGTTTTGAATAATTGTTATAAAAGTGTTATGGTAAGCAAGATCCTAAGCAGAGTAGTTAAATACAAATAGTCAACTCCCATCTTCAGTATATCTAAAATCCTTCTGTATGGTAGAAGCAGTAAGCATGACACAAGATGTCTCTATCAGGTTTAGAAAGCAGTTAAATTATCAACCGTATAGCAGAAAGTAAACCCCCATGATATGTAGATTACTACTCCCTCAGTACCAAATTATGGGATTATACTGACTTGACATAGTTTAAGAAGATTCGAAATACAATAACCTTTGACTCCACGTCTTTTACATCACAATTTGAAAATTTTCAACAAAATTTAAGTTTAATAGCTCTTGCCAAGAAAAAAAGTGTCATTTGTATTAGGACATCAAAAAGGAAAATAGAACACCTCTAAACAGGACGGGTATAAGATAACAAACTAAAATCCTAAAAAATAAACCTAAGGGAAATTGCCATCCAAAAATAAAATTTTTTGTTCCAAACGTAATATATACACAACAGACACGGGCTTGTTTTAAATCAATGTCTTACTAGAAAGCAACAAGAACAGAAGATAAACGTGATTGAACAAAGATATGAAAGAAAAGGATTCCTACCCGCACCCCATACCCTACCAAACCTTTTTGAGTAAGATAGATTCATCACGGAAGGACGACCGAAAGGCCCGAGATAAGGTAATTTATCATTACTTGGAAGGAGTTTGATATGCTACAAGACAATTAAATCACCAAAATCAGACGGTGTGCAGAAACTCTTAAGTTGAAGATTTGACAGCCTTACAAAAATCCACTCGTGGACATCAGAAGAATATATTCTTCACCACCGAGTAAAGATGGAACAAATTCTCCATTACTGAATTATGCTTTATCATGTTTCTAGGTTAAATATGTATATCAAAGGGATATGAACCTGTAGGACTAGATCAATGAAAGTTACTTACTGAAACCCATGTCATAGACTTGGTTTTTGTGATACTTTTCTCCCAGAATGAACCATAATACTAAACTTTTAAGTGTCTCAATAGAAACATGAAGCTAAATGTTTACAACTATTCAACTAAAATCAACCCAGTTAAATCCCAAAGATCAGACATTAAAATCATGTAAAAAACACACAACATCAGATCAAAATGCTATCAAACCATTATGGAAAAGAAGGTTTCCTGCTTGATTCAATAACAAAAAAAAAAAAAAGAGTACAGAAAATGTAAACTTGCAGGCAAAATCAAAATAACAAGCAATTGAAGCAAAACAAGATGTTATTATCGTACAGGAACAAGCCAACTGTTATTATCACCTTTTCCCAGGGCACCCTTTGGCACGGTCACGATCAGCTCTCCATCCTCGTAGACAGCACTGGCAAGCTCTGGCCTTGTAGACTCCGGCAGACGGAAGCGCCACATATCAAGCTCCAAATTATCAAGCAAAGTAAAACCAACATCACTTCCCGGCCGAACCACAATCTTGGTAACCCCAGGATAAATTTCTACAGTGTGGGCCTTCACGTCACTGATACTATCCGTCTCTACCACAAACTTGAAACAGTCCGGGCTCTCCTCCACTTCCACCTCCGCGTCCCACCTGAAGGGCAGCTCCAGCACCCGGCTGAAGATATGGGGCAGCCTCCGGAGCTTCTTGGGGAACCCACCAGTGGGAAGGGACCGCGCCCGGGCCCTATTCGTTTCTGGGTTCATGTCATATTGAATGGCGATGTTCCTTTTCTTGGGCAAAGGATGGATTTTCATGGTTTTGCTAACTGGGTCCTTTCCCTCCTCGCTGTTGTTGTTAGCAGAAACAGAATTCTTGACAAAAGAACAAGAAAAGCCAATGAATTGGGTCAGGATTAAAAACAAGAAGAAAGATGCTTTTCTAGAGAAAAGAGGAGGAAATTGGAGTGGGAATCAAACTCCTGATTACGTTGTGGCTTGGAAACGTCGAAATCATAAAGGAATGGTATCAAGTCGTTTCTTTTTTTGGGATTTTGACTGAGGCAGAGAACGAATGAAACCCTAATGGCTGCGATAATGCTAAAAAGAGAAGCTTTGAACTAAAATGAGGAAATCAATTTTCTTGAGAGAATCTCGAAATAAGAGAGTGCCTTTAAAAGGAAGAAGAGATTTGTTCATCAAAATTTGTGAAATCTGGTTTTATACGAAGGTGGATAGAAGGAGTAGCTTCAGACGAAGGCGGTTTGTCATTTCTTCCCGTGCTTTCAGAAATTACTTATCTACAGTTTTAGATGGTTTCGAATTGTAAAATATCACTCATTAGATAAAGATTATCACCTAAGACTTTTTATTTAATCTAATCACTAGTATTTTTTCTTGTTTTGTTTTTTGCGTTATATATTGAATAATGATATAGGAAAAAGTTTTTTATATAAGTTTTATAATCCTCTAAGTAAATAGATTTATTTAATATTATAAATTTTAAATAAGTAAAAAATTAATTATTTAAATAATAAAGAAGGTTATAGAGAAATTATTTTTGAATAAATTTTTTTTTATATTTTCTTTTTTTTGGGTAAATTAATTATCATTTTATAATCCTTATTTTTATTTGTTATTTACATTAATCTCCCAACCTTCTTCTTAGCTCCAATTATATTTTAATGTTATATATCAATCAATTTGATCCTTCTTGTGAGGGTGTAAACAATATTTAAGTTCATAATCATAATATTTATCTCTTAAAAAATACCTTAACTATTAAAAGTTTAAATTTTTAAAGAAGATAGTTATTTTGCTGTATATCTTATATAGACAGTATATTTTATAATCACTAATAAAGAGTGAAACCATCTCAATATCAATAATTATAAAATATATAGTTTGCTTTCATTATTTTGTTTTTAAGTTGTATAGAACTTCTAAATTAAAGATTCTTGACCTATCACCACAAATATTTCTTTGGTAGCAATCGTCACAACTCATAACAAGAATAAAATTATCATAAAAAATAAGAATAAAGTTTTCATAAAAAAAAAGAAGAAGAAGAAGAATAAAGCTCTTAAGTTCGGATTTAAATAACTTGGTGCGAATAAAAGATGAGAGAGTGGCTTTCATTTTCTATAATGAAGACTAAGCAAGTATAAAAATAAAAATAAAAATAAAATAAAATAAAGAACACATTAGAACCTTGACTATACTTTGATTGCAATTTCAAAACATTTTGAAAATGACTTGTCTATTAATAACAGACAAGGAATGAAGGTTCCATGAGGCTTCATGGAAAAGATTACCCTTTACCTCAAGGAAAAGAATACCCTTTACCCCCACAAACTCAATCATACTTCTGTCTTTCCTCCCCATTGGGCCACAGAGGTGCTTGTGAGTTGTGACAGAAGTCAGGACAATCCCTGTTTTGCGTTTACTTTTTCTATGCCGTTTGAGTTGGGCTTTTACCAAGTGTTTAATATTAAGAACTGTTCTTCTCGCCTAACAATTTTTATTTTGCATTCTCAACTACAAAATAAGATTCTCGTAACATGACCTCGGAAGCACTTTTCAAAGTACTGCATTAATCCAGCTTCAACTTTTGTCCTTAAGCGTCTTATCAAAACTAACACAAACAAGCACTGATATGATAAATAGGGATTTCATAAATATGATTGTAGTATTTATCCGAGAAGGGAAACAAGGAAAACCGAATTTCAATATTTTGGTACATAAAAATCTGACCACATATACCAATGATGGAGAGAGTTGCAGTTCATCTGGTCGGTGACATTACCTAAAAGGTTTTCCATGCTCTGAAAGCTCCAACTTAACATTAACTCTCTTCTTTATTTTACTCTCCTAACTGACATCTAACTTACAGTGTTCAATCATTTTGAGAGTCCAAAGAAGCCTCCTGATGGCGCATTCGACGCCTACGGTGAGATCGTCTATGGCTACGGCTGGGTACTCTGCTTGGCGTGCTGCTTGGGGTATTCGCATGAGGGATGTCTTGGGTCGTTGACATATCACCAAAGAGACCATCTAGCGGGTCTGCCATCAGATTGGTATCAGAGTTCACCTAAAATAACAAGAGAGGTCAGAAAAAGAGGGAATGAATTTCAAATGGCAAGAACTACTAGGACCTGCTATCAGTGTCCTTTGATAGCAGCGTCTGTAACCCAGTAAAAAATTTTATAAAGAATATCCAAACTACCTTCTTGCCCGGGTATCATCGTAAGCAAGCATCAAAAGGCAAGATAAAATGAGTCATCATAAACAAGCATCAAAAGGGTGGGTGATAAATGAGATTAAAGAGAAAGATCTTGAGCTTGCCCAAAAATGAATATTCATTTCTCCCTTGCTCTCTTCTCTTCTATGAAAAGAGCTAAGGGAAAACAGAAAACAAATAATATTGGCACGACAAAATTCATTTTCTAGCAACAAAAAAAAAAAAATTATTATATTAAGATATCCACAGATAAGGCTAAGAACTCTGATCTACTGCAAAATCCATTCATTCGAGAGAGGTTAAGAATTCTCATCTCTCATGGGCTTTACACTTCAGAGCATAGTTTGCTATGCAACTATTATTACCACATCTCAAGAAAGCTCCATACAAATCACCATAAGAATCCCTATAAACATGCCACAATCTAATAAAAAACTTTAGTAGTTGATACCAGCACCAAGCACAGGCTTCTCCTCAGAGTTAATGTATTATTAGAAAATCTTAAGTCTAAATAAAAGCTCACTTGACCTCAGACCGAAACCTGTTCAAATACAATTTACAAAGCAATTAACAGATCAGTCAAAATCATTTTATCATTGGAATTTATACAGGTGAGGTTAAAGAACCTGCTAGTTGTGATTTAAATGCGCCCTGAATCCCATGAAAAATTACATCAACTATTGACATCTGCATAAACCTGAGTGCGGAAAGAAAATAAATGGTTCCATGCAGCCAATGATGGATGTGGCTCAGTTGAAAAGTCAGTCCATAAAAAACATTGATTTCTTTCTCAAAGAAGTGATCTTGATTCATTTTAATTTAAGGAGGCTACCCTACATAATCAATCAAAATTATGCAATCAGATAGAAGTATTGTTTTGAAGAAATACAAAACCCAGTCCATTATCTTGTGCAGTTCTGCCAAACTATTATACCAAGTACAACTCATTTGCAGATTAAGTCAAAGAACCACTAATTCAATAAGATATTCCACTGCATGAAGAGCATGTCTAGATCAATTTAACTAAGTTTGTGCATACAGTAACATAATTACACATATCAAATTAAAAGAACCAAAATCAATGAATGTGTGCTAGAAATTAAAAAAACCAAAGTGTACAAGCAATCAAGCATGTCTTTGCTACATCTGGAATCACTTATTCTGTATTTCATTATCATTATACTAATGGCATAAAATGCGAATGTAAATGTACTTACAGGAGTCTGCTTGAATCCCAAATCAGTTTTCTTGTTGACTGTGTCATTCTGGGAATCATTATGGGAATAAATAGGGGTTTGACTATGAGTGTTGCTATGGGATTGACTAGACAAATCATCATCACTGGTCCTTGGTTCATGAGTGACACCATCACTATAGTAATTCCGAAAACGCCACTTTAACTTTGGCCCAGATCCTGAATCATCATAAACTTTCTCTGAATAGAACCGTTTAGATAGAAGTTGCATTTTTGAAGGATCATCCCCATATTTCTTTGCTATTCTGTTATTTAAAACCCAATTTGCAGAATCAAAATTTGGCAGAAACAAATTTGGACACAAGCAAATGTACACACATGCAGCACAAATATGCAAAAGAAAAGAACAAAACAAGATTTGAACTTGAACAGTTAAAAGTACAGCACATGGTATCAGAATTTGAAAGAGGAGAAAAGGTCCAAATGTTTCTGTTCAATGGCAAATCTGTAGCCATCAAGTATCAGACAGCATTAAATTCAATGTTTGAAACTCCCACATAAAATATGTGAGAGATTAAATTTTCAGGAAGCACTGGATAGTCTATGCTTGTAAAGTGTATATGGTGGACATTTCCAATTTTGGTAAATGACAAACCTTCAGTAGAAATGGTAATAATGCATACTCTAACTGACATAACAAAGGAAATTCAACCAAACAAAAGAGAAAGAGAAAGAAAGAAAGAAAGCTATCATCTTCACATCAAAATTTCGAAGATCAGTCCCATTAACTTAACATATGGATGAAAATTACTTTCAGAACGTAGATGACATTCCCCATACAAACTAAAGAGATTTCAATTCCCTGAAAGGAGGCAATGCCTCATTTCTATAATGCATGGATAACAACAAATTCTTGAAAATGCCCATTTCAGCAAATGGAATATTTTGAACCAAGTAAAGTTTGATACTAACTAAGAAGAATATTTATGGCTTGTGAAGATATAGGTTATACTCCCATGAATACCTGAAAGCATCACTCACATTTTGTACATGGTACTTAAGTCTTGAACTAGAAAAAATCACCACCACGTAGCAAATGATACCTACATTGCTGCTAATTCATACTGCAACAGGCTTCCATCTAATGCAAGGATATGATCAAGGCATGAATCCAAAGACCTAGTACAATTCCAAAATCCAAATCCAATACCAGCTCCTGGATAAGTTATGAAAAAATTATCACCAAAACAATTTTAATGAGTAGAAAACTGAGTGTGGCCCGGATATGTAAATGTGCAAATGGTTTCTATGTGTGTGTGAGAGAGAGAGAGAGTTAGGCTACCAGTTGCTAGTTCTGTTCGATATATCCTTCTCAATCTCCATGTTGCTGGCAAAAGGGACTAGAAATTATCAGAGGAGTGCATGACTAGATCAAGTGTCATGAAATTTAAAACAGAAATCAAGTGTCATGAACATAATTCCAGTGAACTACAGACATGAAATAGAGAACAAAGAATCAGCAACAATGCAGGTGTTAAACATATACCTGCCCACATAAGAGTGCCCCCAAGTAGAGTACCAGTAAAGAAATCCCTCCTAGCCTTAGACTTGCATGTGTAAAGAACATTTACTTCTTGGGGCGTCAATTTAACCTACAAATGACAAAGCAAATAACTTGGGTAATAATGTAAACCGGCAATATATTGGGGTAACTTAAAATCTTTATTTATTTATTTTTTGTTGGTGGGTTACACAATGGGAGCTAACCCACTTCACCCCATTTCTCCCCCATCACGGGAGCCACCATGATTCATGACCTGCACCCAGGATCTTTACTTCCAAGAACAATATCATTTGGCTAAAAGCTCGAAATTTTAATCTTGGGAAGACACTACTCTTACTGCAAAAACCAGTATAACACCGCCTCATTTCCCCCCAATTTCTCAAATAAAGAAATCCAATTTAAGAAATAGGACCAAATAACTCTTTCTCATTACGAACTAGCATCGATAAGATTGGATGGATTTCAAAGGGGGCGACCCAGATTCTGCAACTGGGGCAAAGCCCTCCAAAGAGGAAATGGGAATAGAGATATACCTGCTTGGCCCTGATAACTTCTTCAAGGTCGAAAAGAGCACTCATTTTTCTTCAAAAAAGCTGCTTTCTTCTTCGAAACGTTGAACAGTTCTTAACTTTCTGCCGATGAGACTCAGGAGTCAGGACGAAAGAGCTAAGCCCCCATTACAAAAGCTCGGAGATGTAAGGGGAAAGAAGAGTGGTTAGCCTGCCGAGTAACTCCTGCCCTGTCCTGCCTTCCGGCCTCTTGTGAGTTCGACAAATTGGGCCAGGATCCACTGTTAATATTTTTGTTCCCCTTAGGACTTAAATCCAAGAAAATGAATACTGGGCCGTCAACAAATCTACCATCACATTAGGAGCTTTGTAGTTTACACTCCACACAACAAATAAGAAGTTGGGTAATGAAATTGAGAAAAAAATTTTAAACAATTTTTTAAATATAATTTTTATATATTTTTGAATAATTAAATATATATAATATTATGAGTTTTAATAAAATAAAAAGAATCAATCAATAAATGATACATAAATTTATATAAAAAAATTATATAAAAAGATTGTCTCTTGGTTATTTTCCTAATAGCTTAATTGAATTAGTAGCTAATAATTAAAAAATATTTATTTAGGAGTATTTAATAAAGTGATTTTGTCTAATCTAATAACAAAAGTATTTGAATTAATAATTGCAACAATTATTAATTATCAAATTAAATAAAATCGTTAACCAATATATCTAACACCCTGTTAAAATTAAGATAAGTAATTTAAGTTTGAATTTTTTTTTTTAATATAAAAGATCAATGGTTTAAACCTATGCCATCATATGGGAAAAAGAAAAAAGCTAAAGTTTAAAACAACATATATTTTGGGCTTTGATCAAATCGTGGAGTTCGGAGCTTATTAGAAAACAAAAGAGGTCCTAATTCATTTTTTTGTGAAAGTTTAAGGGTTATTGTATAAAATGTGGTTTGTACAAACTTATACTGAGAGTGATGGAGAAAGTTTAAAAACATTATTTTCTTTACGTACACAAATAGATTTAAAATTTTATTTAAAAAAATATTAAAAATTTACTATTTAAGTAATTTTTAAATAAATTATATCTCTAAATATTTTTAAAATTTACTTAAAACTTAGTTTAAAAGATAATTTTAAAAATTTGACACAATTTTAAATTTGAAGAAAAAATAATACTTTTTAAAGAATGTACTTTTTTTAAGTTTTTTTTTTTTTTTTTT